TATTTTGTCTATGCTTAGATCCAATTCTTTTCCTTTTATTTGTTCAAATATAGTGGTGTCAAATATTATTTTCTGTTCTGAAGATTGTTCATCTTGGTGTTCTTCTTGTTGTATAATTTGTATATCTTTTTCAGTCATAATTATCTTCGTCTGATTCTTCTATTTCATTATTATTTATTTCCTTTTCATTTTCTGAGAACTCGTTTTCTGATATCTCATATATGCTGTCTTCACTGCCTAATTCATAATCTACATACTCTATTTGTGTATATTTATCATTGTCTATAATTATTTCGGTAATTTATTTTTTTCTTTGGGTTTTTTGGTAATCTGCAATCTTTAGCTAAGTGTCCTAGCTTTCCACAATTGTAACAAGTACATTCGGTTAATTTTTTCTTTTTTCTATATGGTTTTTTATGTTTGTAATTTTTTACATATCTTCCTCTTGGTTTCTTATACTTATATTTTGATTTATATCTTTTTCTCTTTCCTTCTTTTTTGTAATATTTATCTGTGCAACCAAATTGGGATGCTATTCTATTTTTGCAGCATGCCAAATTTTTTACTAATATTTTATCCATTTTGATATTTTCTTTATATTTTTCACATAACTCTATGAACCAGTTTTGTAGAAATTTTATTCGAGCTCCTAGAGTATCTGTTAGTTCTGCTTCATTCCAATTTTTTATTATTTTTGAGATAAACGGTTCTGGTAATTTGGTAAAATATAATTTTCTTATTTCCTTACTTTCATCCGGACTATATGTTCCTTTATAATAATAGTTTCTAAATGCACAAGTATATTCGTCTATATAACACATATTACATATTGCTAATTTTGTCATTAAGTTTCTATTTGTAGTCTTTTCTTTATTTTGTTCTTCTACTTCTGTTGTCATACTACTAAATTCATTTCTTATTGCTATTTTATATTTATTCAATATATCTGTAACTGTGGTTGCAGTTGTACCATCAAGTTTTTTATTACTTCTTAATGTCTCTAAGCTTTCACTTGTTAAATTTTGTAACCATAGTTTTACCGTTCCTATAAGTGTTCTTTCTATATATCCTGGTGTTTCAGCAATTACTATTTTATTATCTATTAGTTGTTTTGAGATATACCCTATTNCTAACTGTAATTTAAATTTCTCTATCTCATTTGTCAGTCTTAGCTCTTGTTCTTCTTCTTTACGTTTTTCTTTTCCTTTTAGTTTATTCGTATATAGCTGTTTTAGCATTTCTAATTCCTTTTCTAATTCTGTTATTTTAGTGTTTTTTACTTCCTCTATCTGTTGTATT